TACTTTATGACATTTTAGTTCATCTTTATTTAATTTTATTTTATTTTTTAATTTCATTTTTCTTCATTTTATTTCATTATATTTAATTTTAGTTCATTTTTTCTTTCCTTTCATTTTATTTTTATTTTTTATTGTTTTTATTTTCTTTATTTTATTGAATTTTAGTTCATTTTACTTTAGTTAATTTTATTTCATTTTATTTTTTTGTTTTGTTTTTATTTTCTTTTTTAATTACAATTTAGTTCATTTTACTTTAGTTCATATTTTCATTTTATTTTCTTTATTTTTATTTTATTTTGTTTTATTTTTATTTTCTTTATTTTATTTGTTTAATTCATTTTACTTTATTTCATGTTATTTCATTTTAGTTCATATTTTATTTCATTTTATTCTATTTTTTTTAATTTTACTTTTATTTTCTTTCATTTCATTTTACTTTAGTGCATATTTTATTTCATTTTATTTTCTTTTATTTCCCTTTTTATTTCATTTCTTTTCAATTCCTTTAGTTTTATTTCCTTTTATTGTATTTAATTTTAATTCATAAAATATTCTTTCCTTTTCTTTGATTCCCTTTTATTTCCTGCCCTTTCCTGATTTCCTGGGGCTGAGCTTTTGACACTCCCGTTGTGTTTGGGCTCAGCCCCCCGAGCTGGAGGAGCCGGAAAACTGCTGGAATGTCCCCCTGGAACGTGCCCAGGGAGGGTTGTGGTGAATCCAAGGGCTGTTCCCTGGGCTCTGGAATTCTGGGATCACCAGCTGAGCTCCCGGAGCCATTCCAGGGGGGTTTGGGTCAGGTTGGAGACCCCCACGAAGGGCAGGGGGGGAAGTGCCGGGTTTGGCTCCGCTCGGGATCCACTTCCAGCAGGAAAAGGAGCTTCGTTTGTCCCTCCTGCTTTTCCCATTCCTGTCCCAGGCTCCCTGGACAAGCAGGACTTTGCAGGAGATCACGGATCAGGCCGTGGAATGTCCCTTTACCTTTGGGAAAGGCTTGGTGGCCGTGGGGGGTTTGCTGGAATGGTTTGGGTTGGAAAGGCACAACTCGAGGCTGTTTCCTTTCCCTTCCCTTTGGTTTCCCCCTTTTTTTGGTCTTTTCCCCCTCTTTGGTCTTTTCCCCCCCTTTTCCCCTTCAGGTCTGCCATCCATTTGCATCCAGAGCTCACCAAGGTCTGCCATCCTGGCTGGGAATTCCAGCCCCATTTCCCAAATCCGGGCCCTTCCTCCCTCTTGGTCCTTCTCAGAACAGTGTGAAAGAAATTCCTCTGTTCTCCTACCTCGATCTTGGGACCTCTTGGAGGTTTTCTCTGGAAAATATCATCCCATGGGTATGAAAAACATGGATCCAGGGCACTTTAGGTGGATGGAGGAGGCAGAAACCTCTTGATCCCCCTTTTTTTTTTTTCCCCCTTTGGAGCAGATTCGAGGTTGTTCCTCTGCCTGGGGCAAAGGAAGACAAATAGGATTTGGTGGAAAAGGGGAAAAATAACCCCCAGAACAAGCAGGAGATTTACAATCTCTGCGTGATTTGCCAAGGAAAACACGGTGGGAAGAGTCATCTGCTTGCAATGTCCATGGAAAACAAAGCCTGGATTCATTGTCCTGCTCCGAAGTGAACAGAGAACAATTGGCACCTGTTGGGATGAGTCACCTCCGAGGGGCTGGGATGGGCCTGTCCCGGGA